CAGTCTACCGGTAGCGTCTCCTTTCAGGCCAGGATAGACGAATGTCACCGAGCAGTGACTAAGTTTGTGGTAAAAGGCTTGCACCCATTTGCCACAGCAGATGCCCCCGATTTTTGGTAAGTGAATGTGTTTAATTGTAGGCAGGGACATTGTTGGATTGTGTAATTGCTACAAAAGAATATTTATTTTATTATTTTACATTCACAATTTTTTTTCCTGGGGTCCCTGTGACACCCCATTGAAGAGTCCTAGCCTGAAACTGTTAAGATCTCACTGTTGGGTTTGTAAGGCCATGTTACTCCTAAATTTCTATCTTGTTCAAAGAGAAGATATAAAACAAAGATCTAAGCTAATTGACCTTAGTGTTCTCCTTTTTAAAAAAAAAAAAAAATCGATAAGAGAATCGATAAAGAATCGAATCGTTAAACAGAATCGAAAATGGAATCGGAATCGAGAAAATCTTATCAATACCCATCCCTAACAGGGACAGTAGAAATATTCTGGATTCTTTTAAATCTGCTCTGCTGTGCTGCAAGTCTATTTATAACCAGACTGCTGAAATTGTGTCATGCTTTGTTTCAGTTTGCTAAAATTGGAAAAAAAAACATATAAGAAAGCCACTTGTTAATTTGCAGATTTCTATGCAACATTTCTGCAGCATTTTGCACAACTCTGTATGTGTATTCATCCAAATGTCTATTTGCCCCAAGGGGCATGCTGTAACTGTGCTGCGTATGTGTATCAAGGGCCCTGGCCAGCTGTTGCAGTGTGTGCATAAACACCTTGTTAGGGCTTAGTAAGCTAAGTGTTAATTGGGGTGGAAAGAGTTGATGCGCCGCTCCACTATCCCCATGTGACTGCGCCTCCCCCTCCTCCTCTGCAGTTCAAAACAGCAGTGCTTAGGAAATCGCTCACATGCGCACATGGGCAGAGGGACGCACACAAACATACTCTGACATGAAGTGTAAAAATCAGGCTCTTTGTCGCGTGACTCATTCTGTGCTCCTACATTAACTCGATGCTTTTCCATGCTTTCCATTTCTCCGTACATATTAAACCCATCCCTACCCTGGAGTGCCCCATCTTTTCCTCCTCTTCCCTCAGTTGCATCTCGTAGCACCACTTTTATTTTTCTGCGTTCTCTCCTCCATTAACTCCTCTCACCGGGGTCTCCGAGGCACGTTACACCGACAGAAAACATTCTCCCTTCGTTCAGCGTGTGAAGACGGGAGATGCGCTTTTGGTAATAGAAAAAATACACGGCGCGCTTTGTTCCGAACTCTGACGCCATCCTTACCGTGCCCATTAAGCGGCTGCCTGGCGGGAAGCTTGCCCTTGCGGGGTGTCGAGTGGCAGGAGGAAGAAGCCGAGGCTTGGCTGCTGCTTCCCGCAGAGTGTACGCCACCTCCATTCCTCACCTCCTCCTCCTCCTCTTCGTCGTCTTCCTCCAGGTCCTCCTCCTCCTGGGAGCTTCCGAAGTAGGCCATATTACTGGGCAAGGCAGAAGAACCTGAGTGCAGAGAGGAGGTGGTTAGTAGGGGGAGGAGCAAGGAAATAATTACAACTTAAAAATAATATTTTTTT